AGACGATATGGTCGAGTGGTTGGGCACACGATTGCTATCCCACTCGACACGGGTTCAAATCTATGTGTTCTAGTCAGTAACGTATTCAAACAACGTGTTTTTTACGAGTTGTCTTTTTACGAGTTGTCTTTTTACGAGTTGTCTTCGTTTACCCAAAAAAAGTGAAAAGATAAAATCGATAGCAAGATTTTAATGCAAACAAACAGACAAAGACTAAAAAGTAGAAAATAATAATCATTAAAAAAGTTTTAAAAAACCCACGTTTTCTGATTGAACTAAAAAGTAGAAAATAAATGCTATAGGCCCTACATCACAATAATGCAAGCGATCACTCTACTATAAGCGAGCAAAAACGTGGGGCGCCGTGATTTTCTTACAGTTTCTAATATTGTTGACTCTCTACAAGCTCCCTAATAAAAGTCAATAGTATTATCTAATCAATAGTAATATAACTTTTACTTCGGCGCCCCACGTTTTTGCTCGCTTATAGTACAGTGATCGCTTGCATTATTGTGATGTAGGGCCTATAGCATTTATTTTCTACTTTTTAGTTCAATCAGAAAACGTGGGTTTTTTAAAACTTTTTTAATGATTATTATTAGTCGTGTGACCTTGCTTGCTAAAAATGAGACAGTTAAAATGTAAAAAACAACGCCACTGCTATTTTTTTCGGATCTGTGTTGCTAGATCGCGGGTTTGTACACAATACCGCTCAGACGCCCTTGGGCGTGCTGTATGAAAGCATTGAGTGCATGTTCATCAACCTCCGTAATAGGGAGGTTGAATACCTTTCAGCGACCGCCTACAGACGTCGCAGATGTTACTGGTTACACTACCGTAGGTAGACGGATGCAACCCCTGGTTCGGTTTAAATCATCTAACGTAGTGGCCCGCCGTGTCCTTAGTGTAGGGTGCTCTTGTACTTGGTGTCATCCGTCTAAGGCGCCCCTGTGGCAGTTTCATCGTTGAATAAGTAGCGCCCATACAGGACGCGTAACCAACTGATCCCTTGCACTCAGGTAGCCGCTCACTCAGTGGCGTAGCGAGGTCGGGTGTCACCCCCCCCCCCCCCCCCCCCAGAGGCATAGAGACCCTTCCCAGGGACAAACTTTCAAATTTTCGATTTGCACCCCCCCCCCTCGAGTTTTTCTCTATATATTTTGCTATTTTTTGCCTTGGTGTCACCCCCCTAAATGGTGTCACCCGGTGCGGTCCGCACCCCCCGCCCCCCCCCCCCCCCCCTCGCTACGCCCCTGCGCTCACTATCTCGGGCGCCCAACCTTTACTACTGCTGATGCGCTGGAGGACAACCCTTATTCGATTTAGAAATCGATTTTAGTCCTCCGTATCCCCAGTGAATGCCGCTCATTAAAACGATTATGGGCGCCGTAGTGTTCATGGGGGAGCCCGGGGCGCACCGGGTTACACTACCGCCGGCTGATGCGACTGTGCGCCGGACACCCAATCAACGGAGCCCAGATTCTAAGATGGCCGCCGCCTTACTGTCCCGCCATCCGAAATAAAAATGTAATGCCAGAAACCTTTCCAAATGTGTTTCTTTCAGGTACCTTTCTGGAAAAAATGTCTGGGGAAAAAAACAATGCCATGCAGTTTTCTCAACTACTTCACAAAGTTTCTTGGCGATTGATTGAAAATCAGAAACTTATAGTTTTAGTAGCGCCATATTAATTAAAGATAAATTAGATCAACAAACACCATGTCATTTAAATAAAAATGTGTAGAAAAAAATCGACAAATGTTATTAGCTTGTTGTGAAAACACTGTCCGTGGTTATTTTTAGAAAATGGCTCAGTTGTTATTATAGATGCTTAGTAGGATAGTATATCAGGGAGAGCAGACAGGAGAGAGGTGTAGGCAATTTCCCATTCAGTTGAGGTTTATAGAGGTACATGTACAATCTCACAAAAAAGTTGTGGTTTATTTATAGGCTAATTCTCTCAATGGCTTGCCCGACAACGCTAGTAGTGATATTATTACGGATGGGCCCTATTCGACCCCCCCCCCCCCCCTCCATACTGAATGCAATTGTCTGTACAGTAAGAAAGGACTGGGGGGGGGGGGCTTTTAATTATTTCTAGAGTAGAACAGAATTTGTATTTCCATTTTCTTTTTAAAATCATCTAAATAAGACAAATATTAAATTTCCAATGAAAAAGTTTAAATTTTTTACTGAAGGAAAAGGGCCCCTATGCCTTGCTTACTCTAGCTTTACGATAGCTACGCCACTGGACCCTCCCCACCACCACCCAAACGCCTTCCACAATTGTCTCAAGTTTTAGTTCCACAAGTTCTTTTATTCTTAAGATGAATATATCTTAGTCGCCAAAGAAATTATAAGCTAACTAATTACGCCTGAACGTTTATGGCCTATTTTGATTTTTTTTTTTAAAGAAAAGTTGCGAGTTTACAATAGGGGGTAGAACGCACGACCACCAACTAGTGTGCGCTGGGAGGTGGGTCTAGTGTGAGCTGGGTCTAGTGTGAGCTGGGTCTAATGAGAGCTGGGAGGTGGGTCTAGTGAGAGCTGGGAGGTGGGTCTAGTGTGAGCTGGGTCTAGTGTGAGCTGGGTCTAATGAGAGCTGGGAGGTGGGTCTAGTGAGAGCTGGGAGGTGGGTCTAGTGAGAGCTGGGTCTAGTGAAAGCTGGGAGGTGGGTCTAGTGAGAGCTGGGAGGTGGGTCTAGTGAGAGCTGGGAGGTGTGGGTCTAGTGAGAGCTGGGAGGTGGGTCTAGTGAGAGCTGGGAGGTGGGTCTAGTGAGAGCTGGGTCTAGTGTGAGCTGGGTCTAATGAGAGCTGGGTCTAATGAGAGCTGGGTCTAGTGTGAGCTGGGTCTAATGAGAGCTGGGAGGTGGGTCTAGTGAGAGCTGGGAGGTGGGTCTAGTGAGAGCTGGGTCTAGTGTGAGCTGGGTCTAGTGAGAGCTGGGAGGTGGGTCTAGTGAGAGCTGGGTCTAGTGTGAGCTGGGTCTAGTGAGAGCTGGGAGGTGGGTCTAGTGAGAGCTGGGTCTAGTGTGAGCTGGGTCTAATGAGAGCTGGGAGGTGGGTCTAGTGTGAGCTGGGTCTAGTGAGAGCTGGGTCTAGTGTGAGCTGGGTCTAGTGAGAGCTGGGAGGTGGGTCTAGTGAGAGCTGGGAGGTGGGTCTAGTGAGAGCTGGGTCTAGTGAAAGCTGGGAGGTGGGTCTAGTGAGAGCTGGGAGGTGGGTCTAGTGAGAGCTGGGAGGTGGGTCTAGTGAGAGCTGGGAGGTGGGTCTAGTGAGAGCTGGGTCTAGTGTGAGCTGGGTCTAATGAGAGCTGGGAGGTGGGTCTAGTGTGAGCTGGGTCTAGTGAGAGCTGGGAGGTGGGTCTAGTGAGAGCTGGGAGGTGGGTCTAGTGTGAGCTGGGTCTAGTGTGAGCTGGGTCTAATGAGAGCTGGGAGGTGGGTCTAGTGTGAGCTGGGAGGTGGGTCTAGTGAGAGCTGGGTCTAGTGAGAGCTGGGAGGTGGGTCTAGTGAGAGCTGGGAGGTGGGTCTAGTGAGAGCTGGGAGGTGTGGGTCTAGTGAGAGCTGGGTCTAGTGTGAGCTGGGAGGTGGGTCTAGTGAGAGCTGGGAGGTGTGGGTCTAGTGAGAGCTGGGTCTAGTGTGAGCTGGGAGGTGGGTCTAGTGTGAGCTGGGAGGTGGGTCTAGTGAGAGCTGGGAGGTGGGTCTAGTGAGAGCTGGGTCTAGTGTGAGCTGGGAGGTGGGTCTAGTGAGAGCTGGGTCTAGTGAGAGCTGGGAGCTGGGTCTAGTGTGAGCTGGGTCTAGTGAGAGCTGGGAGGTGGGTCTAGTGAGAGCTGGGTCTAGTGTGAGCTGGGTCTAGTGAGAGCTGGGAGGTGGGTCTAGTGAGAGCTGGGTCTAGTGAGAGCTGGGAGGTGGGTCTAGTGAGAGCTGGGTCTAGTGTGAGCTGGGTCTAGTGAGAACTGGGAGGTGGGTCTAGTGAGAGCTGGGAGGTGGGTCTAGTGTGAGCTGGGAGGTGGGTCTAGTGAGAGCTGGGTCTAGTGTGAGCTGGGAGGTGGATCTAGTGAGAGCTGGGAGGTGGGTCTAGTGAGAGCTGGGTCTAGTGTGAGCTGGGTCTAGTGAGAGCTGGGAGGTGGGTCTAGTGAGAGCTGGGAGGTGGGTCTAGTGTGAGCTGGGAGGTGGGTCTAGTGAGAGCTGGGTCTAGTGTGAGCTGGGAGGTGGATCTAGTGAGAGCTGGGAGGTGGGTCTAGTGTGAGCTGGGAGGTGGGTCTAGTGAGAGCTGGGTCTAGTGTGAGCTGGGTCTAGTGTGAGCTGAATACAGGACTAAAATAAAATACTTAAAAAAAACTTTTTAAAAAACCACGTTTTTCTTGTGGACTAAAAAGTAGAAAATAACTATTTACATACATTTGATGACAAAAAACGTGGGTACGTTCACCATCAAATTTCCCGACCCATCTGCCCGACCCACGTTTTTTGTCATCAAATGTATGTAAATAGTTATTTTCTACTTTTTAGTCCACAAGAAAAACGTGGTTTTTTAAAAAGTTTTTTTTAAGTATTTTATTTTCTCCTTTTTAGTCCGTTGCTACACATGAAAAACGTGGTTTTTAAAAAAGTGTTGATAAATACACGGACTAAAAAAATCTTGAGCGACCAGGATTCGAACCTGGGTTGTCGCGGCCACAACGCGAAGTACTAACCACTATACGATCACGGCCAGCGCGCTCACATCGATTGGGACCGAAGTAACTGTGTCAACAAGCCTCCAGTCTTGTCGGTATCTTTAGAAATCATGTCCTCAATTTTATGGTCCTTTGGGCGTAATTAAATTAAGCTAATTACGGTCTCTAATTGCTAGTTTTTATGATTGCATCTGAAATTGTTAGGCAAAAGTAACCTGCATGCCAAATTTCAGATCTATAGAGCAATCAGAAGTGGGCTAATTTTCGATGTCAATTTTAACAACAAACACACGCGAAGCTGAGTTAATAAAAACGTGTTAACATGGTGGAATCAACAAATGTCAAGACTTGAATTTTATTTTGAAATTTACTGAGGTTACTGGCAATAACATCTTGTGACTGGGTATCAAGTCATCAATGCCCTGTGAGGGTGGATGTGATGTCATCAATGCCCTGTAAGGGTGGATGTGATGTCATCAATGCCCCTTAGAGGGTGGGTGTGATGTCATCAATGCCCCTTAGAGGGTGGATGTGATGTCATCAATGCCCCTTAGAGGGTGGGTGTGATGTCATCAATGCCCCTTAGAGGGTGGATGTGATGTCATTAATGCCCTGTGAGGGTGGATGTGATGTCATCAATGCCCTGTGAGGGTGGATGTGATGTCATCAATGCCCTGTGAGGGTGGATGTGATGTCATCAATGCCCCTTAGAGGGTGGGTGTGATGTCATAAATGCCCGTGCGGGTGGGCATGATGTCCAATGCCCTGTGAGATCGAGTATTAAGGCTGTATATCTTGCAGTATATCTTGTGGTAGTGTTTTGTCTGATGACATGTTGGCATTTGTCTAATGACATGTTGACATTTATCTGATGATATGTTGACATTTGTCTGATGACATGTTGACATTTGTCTAATGACATGTTGACATTTGTCTGATGACATGTTGGCATTTGTCTGATGACATGTTGACATTTGTCTGATGACATGTTGGCATTTGCTCAGCCTCTTCAGATTTTTATTTGGCCAACTGCTCTACTTGAAATGTAAAAGGCTAATTGGAAAATATGGCCTTGACTTATGACCTCAACAGGCCTTGACTTTCCACTACAGTTCACAAGATCATTTTAAAAAGAGTTCAATTCAAACATGTAGACCACTTATTGAAACAGAGGCCAGACAGAAAGGTTGTCGCCCATTGGTTAAAAAGCTGGCCAATCACAAAGACTGTTGGTGTTGCTGTAAGTATTCTGTTAAGAGCAGGGATGGAGGTCGGAACAGTTGGTTCCTGTTTTCAACTTGAGTTCTGCGAGAACCATTTTCATCAAAACCTGCAAAGTGGCAAAAGATAAACAATATCTGGGCCAACTAACAACAACTAAAACTAAATGACATCTGGGCCAATTAACAACAACTAAAACTAAATGACATCTGGGCCAATTAACAACAACTAAAACTAAATGACATCTGGGCCAATTAACAACAACTAAAACTAAATGACATCTGGGCCAATTAACAACAACTAAAACTAAATGACATCTGGGCCAATTAACAACAACTAAAACTAAATGACATCTGGGCCAATTAACAACAACTAAAACTAAATGACATCTGGGCCAACTAACAACAACTAAAACTAAATGACATCTGGGCCAATTAACAACAACTAAAACTAAATGACATCTGGGCCAATTAACAACAACTAAAACTAAATGACATCTGGGCCAATTAACAACAACTAAAACTAAATGACATCTGGGCCAATTAACAACAACTAAAACTAAATGACATCTGGGCCAATTAACAACAACTAAAACTAAATGACATCTGGGCCAATTAACAACAACTAAAACTAAATGACATCTGGGCCAATTAACAACAACTAAAACTAAATGACACCTGGGCCAATTAACAACAACTAAAACTAAATGACATCTGGGCCAACTAACAACAACTAAAACTAAATGACATCTGGGCCAATTAACAACAACTAAAACTAAATGACATCTGGGCCAATTAACCACTAAAATTAACTGACACCTAAGCTGTTGTTACGTATGGGGAGGGTATGTTGTTGTGTTGTGTATGGGGAGGGTATGTTGTTGTGTATGGGGAGGGTATGTTATTGTGTATGGGGAGGGTATGTTGTTGTGTATGGGGAGGGTATGTTGTTGTGTTGTATATGGGGAGGGTATGTTGTTGTGTATGGGGAGGGTATGTTGTTGTGTATGGGGAGGGTATGTTGTTGTGTATGGGGAGGGTATGTTGTTGTGTATGGGGAGGGTATGTTGTTGTGTATGGGGAGGGTATGTTGTTGTGTATGGGGAGGGTATGTTGTTGTGTATGGGGAGGGTATGTTGTTGTGTATGGGGAGGGTATGTTGTTGTGTTGTGTATGGGGAGGGTATGTTGTTGTGTTGTGTATGGGGAGGGTATGTTGTTGTGTATGGGGAGGGTATGTTGTTGTGTATGGGGAGGGTATGTTGTTGTGTATGGGGAGGGTATGTTGTTGTGTATGGGGAGGGTATGTTGTTGTGTTGTATATGGGGAGGGTATGTTGTTGTGTATGGGGAGGGTATGCTGTTGTGTGTGGGGAGGGTATGTTGTTGTGTTGTGTATGGGGAGGGTATGTTGTTGTGTATGGGGAGGGTATGCTGTTGTGTGTGGGGAGGGTATGTTGTTGTGTTGTGTATGGGGAGGGTATGTTGTTGTGTATGGGGAGGGTATGTTGTTGTGTTGTATATGGGGAGGGTATGTTGTTGTGTATGGGGAGGGTATGTTGTTGTGTTGTGTATGGGGAGGGTATGTTGTTGTGTATGGGGAGGGTATGTTGTTGTGTTGTGTATGGGGAGGGTATGTTGTTGTGTATGGGGAGGGTATGTTGTTGTGTTGTGTATGGGGAGGGTATGTTGTTGTGTATGGGGAGGGTATGTTGTTGTGTATGGGGAGGGTATGTTGTTGTGTTGTGTATGGGGAGGGTATGTTGTTGTGTATGGGGAGGGTGTGTTGTTGTGTATGGGGAGGGTATGTTGTTGTGTTGTATATGGGGAGGGTATGTTGTTGTGTTGCGTATGGGGAGGGTATGTTGTTGTGTATGGGGAGGGTATGTTGTTGTGTTGTATATGGGGAGGGTATGTTGTTGTGTTGTGTATGGGGAGGGTATGTTGTTGTGTATGGGGAGGGTATGTTGTTGTGTTGTATATGGGGAGGGTATGTTGTTGTGTTGTGTATGGGGAGGGTATGTTGTTGTGTATGGGGAGGGTATGTTGTTGTGTTGTATATGGGGAGGGTATGTTGTTGTGTATGGGGAGGGTATGTTGTTGTGTTGTGTATGGGGAGGGTATGTTGTTGTGTATGGGGAGGGTATGTTGTTGTGTATGGGGAGGGTATGTTGTTGTGTTGTGTATGGGGAGGGTATGTTGTTGTGTATGGGGAGGGTATGTTGTTGTGTATGGGGAGGGTATGTTGTTGTGTTGTGTATGGGGAGGGTATGTTGTGTTGTGTATGGGGAGGGTATGTTGTTGTGTTGTATATGGGGAGGGTATGTTGTTGTGTTGCGTATGGGGAGGGTATGTTGTTGTGTATGGGGAGGGTATGTTGTTGTGTTGTGTATGGGGAGGGTATGTTGTTGTGTTGTGTATGGGGAGGGTATGTTGTTGTGTTGTATATGGGGAGGGTATGTTGTTGTGTTGTATATGGGGAGGGTATGTTGTTGTGTTGTATATGGGGAGGGTATGTTGTTGTGTTGTATATGGGGAGGGTATGTTGTTGTGTTGCGTATGGGGAGGGTATGTTGTTGTGTTGTATATGGGGAGGGTATGTTGTTGTGTTGTGTATGGGGAGGGTATGTTGTTGTGTTGTATATGGGGAGGGTATGTTGTTGTGTATGGGGAGGGTATGTTGTTGTGTATGGGGAGGGTATGTTGTTGTGTATGGGGAGGGTATGTTGTTGTGTTGTATATGGGGAGGGTATGTTGTTGTGTATGGGGAGGGTATGTTGTTGTGTATGGGGAGGGTATGTTGTTGTGTATGGGGAGGGTATGTTGTTGTGTATGGGGAGGGTATGTTGTTGTGTATGGGGAGGGTATGTTGTTGTGTATGGGGAGGGTATGTTGTTGTGTATGGGGAGGGTATGTTGTTGTGTATGGGGAGGGTATGTTGTTGTGTTGTGTATGGGGAGGGTATGTTGTTGTGTTGTGTATGGGGAGGGTATGTTGTTGTGTATGGGGAGGGTATGTTGTTGTGTATGGGGAGGGTATGTTGTTGTGTATGGGGAGGGTATGTTGTTGTGTATGGGGAGGGTATGTTGTTGTGTTGTATATGGGGAGGGTATGTTGTTGTGTATGGGGAGGGTATGCTGTTGTGTGTGGGGAGGGTATGTTGTTGTGTTGTGTATGGGGAGGGTATGTTGTTGTGTATGGGGAGGGTATGCTGTTGTATGTGGGGAGGGTATGTTGTTGTGTTGTGTATGGGGAGGGTATGTTGTTGTGTATGGGGAGGGTATGTTGTTGTGTTGTATATGGGGAGGGTATGTTGTTGTGTATGGGGAGGGTATGTTGTTGTGTTGTGTATGGGGAGGGTATGTTGTTGTGTATGGGGAGGGTATGTTGTTGTGTTGTGTATGGGGAGGGTATGTTGTTGTGTATGGGGAGGGTATGTTGTTGTGTTGTGTATGGGGAGGGTATGTTGTTGTGTATGGGGAGGGTATGTTGTTGTGTATGGGGAGGGTATGTTGTTGTGTTGTGTATGGGGAGGGTATGTTGTTGTGTATGGGGAGGGTGTGTTGTTGTGTATGGGGAGGGTATGTTGTTGTGTTGTATATGGGGAGGGTATGTTGTTGTGTTGCGTATGGGGAGGGTATGTTGTTGTGTATGGGGAGGGTATGTTGTTGTGTTGTATATGGGGAGGGTATGTTGTTGTGTTGTGTATGGGGAGGGTATGTTGTTGTGTATGGGGAGGGTATGTTGTTGTGTTGTATATGGGGAGGGTATGTTGTTGTGTTGTGTATGGGGAGGGTATGTTGTTGTGTATGGGGAGGGTATGTTGTTGTGTTGTATATGGGGAGGGTATGTTGTTGTGTATGGGGAGGGTATGTTGTTGTGTTGTGTATGGGGAGGGTATGTTGTTGTGTATGGGGAGGGTATGTTGTTGTGTATGGGGAGGGTATGTTGTTGTGTTGTGTATGGGGAGGGTATGTTGTTGTGTATGGGGAGGGTATGTTGTTGTGTATGGGGAGGGTATGTTGTTGTGTTGTGTATGGGGAGGGTATGTTGTGTTGTGTATGGGGAGGGTATGTTGTTGTGTTGTATATGGGGAGGGTATGTTGTTGTGTTGCGTATGGGGAGGGTATGTTGTTGTGTATGGGGAGGGTATGTTGTTGTGTTGTGTATGGGGAGGGTATGTTGTTGTGTTGTGTATGGGGAGGGTATGTTGTTGTGTTGTATATGGGGAGGGTATGTTGTTGTGTTGTATATGGGGAGGGTATGTTGTTGTGTTGTATATGGGGAGGGTATGTTGTTGTGTTGTATATGGGGAGGGTATGTTGTTGTGTTGCGTATGGGGAGGGTATGTTGTTGTGTTGTATATGGGGAGGGTATGTTGTTGTGTTGTGTATGGGGAGGGTATGTTGTTGTGTTGTATATGGGGAGGGTATGTTGTTGTGTATGGGGAGGGTATGTTGTTGTGTTGTATATGGGGAGGGTATGTTGTTGTGTATGGGGAGGGTATGTTGTTGTGTTGTATATGGGGAGGGTATGTTGTTGTGTTGTATATGGGGAGGGTATGTTGTTGTGTTGTGTATGGGGAGGGTATGTTGTTGTGTTGTATATGGGGAGGGTATGTTGTTGTGTTGTGTATGGGGAGGGTATGTTGTTGTGTATGGGGAGGGTATGTTGTTGTGTTGTATATGGGGAGGGTATGTTGTTGTGTATGGGGAGGGTATGTTGTTGTGTTGTATATGGGGAGGGTATGTTGTTGTGTTGCGTATGGGGAGGGTATGTTGTTGTGTTGTGTATGGGGAGGGTATGTTGTTGTGTTGTATATGGGGAGGGTATGTTGTTGTGTTGTGTATGGGGAGGGTATGTTGTTGTGTTGTATATGGGGAGGGTATGTTGTGTTGTATATGGGGAGGGTATGTTGTTGTGTTGTATATGGGGAGGGTATGTTGTTGTGTTGTATATGGGGAGGGTATGTTGTTGTGTATGGGGAGGGTATGTTGTTGTGTTGTATATGGGGAGGGTATGTTGTTGTGTTGTGTATGGGGAGGGTATGTTGTTGTGTTGTATATGGGGAGGGTATGTTGTTGTGTTGTATATGGGGAGGGTATGTTGTTGTGTATGGGGAGGGTATGTTGTTGTGTTGTATATGGGGAGGGTATGTTGTTGTGTTGTATATGGGGAGGGTATGTTGTTGTGTATGGGGAGGGTATGTTGTTGTGTTGCGTATGGGGAGGGTATGTTGTTGTGTATGGGGAGGGTATGTTGTTGTGTTGTATATGGGGAGGGTCTGATAATTAAGGGAGTACAAGTTTGCATCAATTCGTCTTTTGATTAAAGCGCTTTTAAAATGACATAACTAAATCAATGCTGAGTACCAGTGAGTACTATGTGACACTGTAAGCAATGTGTGACGACACATGTGGTGACACTGTCAGCAATATTTAGTGACACTGTCAGCAATGTGTGATGACACATGTGGTGACACTGTCAGCAATGAGTGTAAGGCCACATTACTTTGCGAGTGAAGATCCAAATACTGGCAGAGTGCGTGCAGCAACATCCTCTCGTAACTGCTGGAGATGTGTGAAATAAAGACGGATGTTGGACAGTCATGGAAGAATGTAACCAGCTCCCTCTCCAGGTTGGCCAGCATGCCCTGGTCAAACAGCACACAAATAAAACACAAACAGCACACAAATAAAACACAAACAGCACACAAATAAAACACAAACAGCACACAAATAAAACACAAACAGCACACAAATAAAACACAAACAGCACACAAATAAAACACAAACAGCACACAAATAAAACACAAACAGCACACAAATAAAACACAAACAGCACACAAATAAAACACAAACAGCTCACAAATAAAACACAAACAGCACACAAAACACAGCACACAAATAAAACACAAACAGCACACAAATAAAACACAAACAGCACACAAATAAAACACAAACAGCACACAAATAAAACACAAACAGCTCACAAATAAAACACAAACAGCACACAAAACACAGCACACAAATAAAACACAAACAGCACACAAATAAAACACAAACAGCACACAAATAAAACACAAACAGCACACAAATAAAACACAAACAGCTCACAAATAAAACACAAACAGCACACAAAACACAGCACACAAATAAAACACAAACAGCACACAAATAAAACACAAACAGCACACAAATAAACACAAACAGCACACAAATAAAACACAAACAGCACACAAATAAAACACAAACAGCTCACAAATAAAACACAAACAGCACACAAAACACAGCACACAAATAAAACACAAACAGCACACAAATAAAACACAAACAGCACACAAATAAACACAAACAGCACACAAATAAAACACAAACAGCACACAAATAAAACACAAACAACACAAATAAAACACAAACAGCACACAAAACACAGCACACAAATAAAACACAAACAGCACACAAATAAAACTCAAACAGCACACAAATAAAACTCAAACAGCACACAAATAAAACACAAACAGCACACAAATAAAACACAAACAGCACACAAATAAAACACAAACAGCACACAAATAAAACACAAACAGCTCAAAAATAAAACACAAACAGCACACAAAACACAGCACACAAATAAAACACGAACAGCACACAAATAAAACACAAACAGCACACAAATAAAACACAAACAGCACACAAATAAAACACAAACAGCACACAAATAAAACACAAACAGCACACAAATAAAACACAAACAACACAAATAAAACACAAACAGCACACAAAACACAGCACACAAATAAAACTCAAACAGCACACAAAACACAGCACATAAATAAAACACAAACAGTACACAAATAAAACACAAACAGCACACAAATAAAACACAAACAGCACACAAATAAAACACAAACAGCACACAAATAAAACACTAACCTAACTCAAAACCTAAACTTACTCATATTTCAACTCTAATCTAAACTAACTCTAACTCATATGAAAACTCTAACTCATCTGAAACTAAAATCTCAACTAAACCAAGACTAAGGGCATGGGCAGAGATGAAAACCAAAATAACTAAAATGCTAATTTCTAAACCTTATGCTATAATATTTAGCATATAATTATGACTCAAAGAGGTAAGTCTAAAAAGAACAAAATAGCCAAAAATGTCATGCCGTTGCCATGGTGATGGTGGTCATCTTGGATTTTATTTACGTTTTTAACATCGAATTAATTCAAAGATAGCTTAGGCAAATTCAATGAAAAAAACTTGTAGGATTATAGACATACATGGTAAAAATCTTGATAGATTACTTTTTCAAATTTTTAAATACTTTTGTTATTACAATTTTTTTTCTGAAAATCACTTTAAAAAATCGAAATTTGTGCACAAAATACACCATTTTAACTGTTAAAGAAAAACCATACAAATTTTCAAAAATTTGTTCTATAATTTTGTTTGTATATGTAAACAGAATAACTAGAGAAAATTTTGACCAATTTTAATAAGTCATTTCAATGTTAAAATTGTTTTAAAAATCCAAGATGGCCACCATCACCATGGTAACGACATGAAATTTTCTGCTATTTTGTTCTTTTTAGACTTATCTCTTTGAGTCATAACGATATGCTAAATATTATAGCATTAGAAATAAGCATTTTGGTTATTTTGGTTTTCATCTCTGCCCATGCCCAAATCAATGGACTTCTCTCATGGTTTCTGATTAGCATGGAGGAGGAAAGTGTGACCCACTTTTTAATAGCTCTTTGAAACTTTTGGCAGTTATTTTCATTTGTTTTGGATTTTAAGTGGTCACTTGCGGTCAGTCTTCCCCTCAGGCTAGGCTGTAGCAAGCAACACAAACTCTCTCTTCTATTGTTAGATTTGAAAATAGTTAGGGGATAAATCTTTTCCTGTACTTCCTGTCTACACATTATGGGTGGCTGTCACTGGTAGCTGTCACTGGTGGCTGTCACTGGTGGCTGTCACTGGTAGCTGTCACTGGTGGCTGTCACTGGTAGCTGTCACTGGTGGCTGTCACTGGTAGCTGTCACTGGTGGCTGTCACTGGTGGCTGGGTGGCTGTCACTTGTGGCTGTCACTGGTGGCTGTCACTGGTGGCTGGGTGGCTGTCACTGGTGGCTGTCACTGGTGGCTGTCACTGGTAGCTGGGTGGCTGTCACTGGTAGCTGTCACTGGTAGCTGTCACTGGTAGCTGGGTGGCTGTCACTGGTAGCTGTCACTGGTAGCTGGGTGGCTGTCACTGGTGGCTGTCACTGGTGGCTGTCACTGGTGGCTGGGTGGCTGTCACTGGTGGCTGTCACTGGTGGCTGTCACTGGTGGCTGGGTGGCTGTCACTGGTGGCTGTCACTGGTGGCTGTCACTGGTGGCTGTCACTGGTGGCTGGGTGGCTGTCACTGGTGGCTGTCACTGGTGGCTGTCACTGGTGGCTGTCACTGGTGGCTGTCACTGGTGGCTGTCACTGGTGGCTGTCACTGGTAGCTGTCACTGGTGGCTGTCACTGGTAGCTGTCAGTGGTGGCTGTCACTGGTGGCTGTCAATGGTGGCTGTCACTGGCGGCTGTCACTGGTGGCTGTCACTGGTGGCTGTCACTGGTGGCTGTCACTGGTAGCTGTCAGTGGTGGCTGTCACTGGTGGCTGTCAATGGTGGCTGTCACTGGTGGCTGTCACTGGTGGCTGTCAATGGTGGCTGTCAATGGTGGCTGTCACTGGTGGCTGTCACTGGTGGCTGTCACTGGTGGCTGTCACTGGTGGCTGTCACTGGTGGCTGTCACTGGTGGCTGGGTGGCTGTCACTGGTAGCTGGGTGGCTGTCACTGGTGGCTGTCACTGGTGGCTGGGTGGCTGTCACTGGTGGCTGTCACTGGTAGCTGTCACTGGTGGCTGTCACTGGTGGCTGTCACTGGTGGCTGTCACTGGTGGCTGTCACTGGTAGCTGGGTGGCTGTCACTGGTAGCTGTCACTGGTAGCTGGGTGGCTGTCACTGGTGGCTGTCACTGGTAGCTGTCACTGGTGGCTGTCACTGGTGGCTGTCACTGGTAGCTGGGTGGCTGTCACTGGTAGCTGTCACTGGTAGCTGGGTGGCTGTCACTGGTGGCTGTCACTGGTAGCTGTCACTGGTGGCTGTCACTGGTGGCTGTCACTGGTAGCTGTCACTGGTGGCTGTCAATGGTGGCTGTCACTGGTGGCTGTCACTGGTGGCTGTCACTGGTGGCTGTCATTGGTGGCTGTCACTGGTAGCTGTCAGTGGTGGCTGTCACTGGTGGCTGTCACTGGTGGCTGTCACTGGTAGCTGGGTGGCTGTCACTGGTAGCTGTCAGTGGTAGCTGGGTGGCTGTCACTGGTAGCTGTCACTGGTGGCTGTCACTGGTAGCTGTCACTGGTGGCTGTCACTGGTGGCTGTCACTGGTGGCTGTCACTGGTGGCTGTCACTGGTAGCTGTCAGTGGTAGCTGTCACTGGTGGCTGTCACTGGTGGCTGTCACTGGTGGCTGTCACTGGTAGCTGTCACTGGTGGCTGTCACTGGTGGCTGTCACTGGTGGCTGTCACTGGTGGCTGTCACTGGTGGCTGTCACTGGTGGCTGTCACTGGTAGCTGTCACTGGTAGCTGGGTGGCTGTCACTAGTAGCTGTCACTGGTAGCTGTCACTGGTGGCTGTCACTGGTGGCTGTCACTGGTGGCTGGGTGGCTGTCACTGGTGGCTGTCACTGGTGGCTGTCACTGGTGGCTGTCACTGGTGGCTGTCACTGGTAGCTGTCAGTGGTAGCTGGGTGGCTGTCACTGGTGGCTGTCACTGGTGGCTGTCACTGGTGGCTGTCACTGGTAGCTGGGTAGCTGTCAGTGGTAGCTGGGTGGCTGTCACTGGTAGCTGGGTGGCTGTCAGTGGTAGCTGGGTGGCTGTCACTGGTGGCTGTCACTGGTGGCTGTCACTGGTGGCTGTCACTGGTGGCTGTCACTGGTGGCTGTCACTGGTGGCTGTCACTGGTAGCTGGGTAGCTGTCAGTGGTAGCTGGGTGGCTGTCACTGGTGGCTGTCACTGGTGGCTGTCACTGGTGGCTGTCACTGGTGGCTGTCACTGGTGGCTGTCACTGGTGGCTGTCACTGGTGGCTGTCACTGGTAGCTGGGTGGCTGTCACTGGTAGCTGGGTGGCTGTCACTGGTGGCTGTCACTGGTGGCTGTCACTGGTAGCTGTCACTGGTAGCTGGGTGGCTGTCACTGGTAGCTGTCACTGGTAGCTGTCACTGGTGGCTGTCACTGGTGGCTGTCACTGTTAGCTGGGTGGCTGTCACTGGTGGCTGGGTGGCTGTCACTGGTGGCTGTCACTGGTAGCTGTCACTGGTAGCTGGGTGGCTGTCACTGGTAGCTGTCACTGGTAGCTGTCACTGGTAGCTAGGTGGCTGTCACTGGTAGCTGTCACTGGTAGCTGTCACTGGTGGCTGTCACTGGTGGCTGTCACTGGTGGCTGTCACTGGTAGCTGGGTGGCTGTCACTGGTGGCTGTCACTGGTGGCTGTCACTGGTGGCTGTCACTGGTGGCTGGGTGGCTGTCACTGGTGGCTGTCACTGGTAGCTGTCACTGGTAGCTGGGTGGCTGTCACTGGTAGCTGTCACTGGTAGCTGTCACTGGTGGCTGTCACTGGTGGCTGTCACTGGTGGCTGTCACTGGTGGCTGTCACTGGTAGCTGGGTGGCTGTCACTGGTGGCTGTCACTGGTGGCTGGGTGGCTGTCACTGGTGGCTGGGTGGCTGTCACTGGTGGCTGTCACTGGTGGCTGTCACTGGTGGCTGTCACTGGTAGCTGTCAGTGGTAGCTGGGTGGCTGTCACTGGTGGCTGTCACTGGTGGCTGTCACTGGTGGCTGTCACTGGTGGCTGTCACTGGTAGCTGGGTAGCTGTCAGTGGTAGCTGGGTGGCTGTCACTGGTAGCTGGGTGGCTGTCACTGGTGGCTGTCACTGGTGGCTGTCACTGGTAGCTGGGTGGCTGTCACTGGTGGCTGTCACTGGTGGCTGTCACTGGTGGCTGTCACTGGTAGCTGTCACTGGTAGCTGGGTGGCTGTCACTGGTAGCTGTCACTGGTAGCTGTCACTGGTGGCTGTCACTGGTGGCTGTCACTGGTGGCTGTCACTGGTGGCTGTCACTGGTGGCTGTCACTGGTGGCTGTCACTGGTGGCTGTCACTGGTAGCTGGGTGGCTGTCACTGGTAGCTGGGTGGCTGTCACTGGTGGCTGTCACTGGTGGCTGTCACTGGTGGCTGTCACTGGTAGCTGTCACTGGTAGCTGGGTGGCTGTCACTGGTAGCTGTCACTGGTGGCTGTCACTGGTGGCTGTCACTGGTAGCTGGGTGGCTGTCACTGGTGGCTGTCACTGGTGGCTGTCACTGGTGGCTGGGTGGCTGTCACTGGTGGCTGTCACTGGTGGCTGTCACTGGTGGCTGTCACTGGTGGCTGTCACTGGTAGCTGTCAGTGGTAGCTGGGTGGCTGTCACTGGTGGCTGTCACTGGTGGCTGTCACTGGTGGCTGTCACTGGTGGCTGTCACTGGTAGCTGGGTAGCTGTCAGTGGTAGCTGGGTGGCTGTCACTGGTAGCTGGGTGGCTGTCACTGGTGGCTGTCACTGGTGGCTGTCACTGGTGGCTGTCACTGGTGGCTGTCACTGGTGGCTGTCACTGGTAGCTGGGTGGCTGTCACTGGTAGCTGGGTGGCTGTCACTGGTGGCTGTCACTGGTAGCTGTCACTGGTGGCTGGGTGGCTGTCACTGGTGGCTGTCACTGGTGGCTGTCACTGGTAGCTGTCAGTGGTAGCTGGGTGGCTGTCACTGGTGGCTGTCACTGGTGGCTGTCACTGGTAGCTGTCACTGGTAGCTGTCACTGGTGGCTGTCACTGGTAGCTGTCACTGGTAGCTGTCGCTGGTAGCTGTCACTGGTAGCTGTCACTGGTGGCTGTCACTGGTGGCTGTCACTGGTGGCTGTCACTGGTAGCTGGGTGGCTGTCACTGGTAGCTGTCACTGGTAGCTGGGTGGCTGTCACTGGTAGCTGTCACTGGTGGCTGGGTGGCTGTCACTGGTGGCTGTCACTGGTGGCTGTCACTGGTGGCTGTCACTGGTGGCTGTCACTGGTGGCTGGGTGGCTGTCACTGGTGGCTGGGTGGCTGTCACTGGTAGCTGTCACTGGTGGCTGTCAGTGGTAGCTGTCACTGGTGGCTGTTACTGGTAGCTGTCACTGGTGGCTGGGTGGCTGTCACTGGTGGCTGTCACTGGTGGCTGTCACTGGTAGCTGTCAGTGGTGGCTGTCACTGGTGGCTGTCACTGGTGGCTGTCACTGGTAGCTGGGTGGCTGTCACTGGTAGCTGTCAGTGGTAGCTGGGTGGCTGTCACTGGTAGCTGTCACTGGTGGCTGTCACTGGTAGCTGTCACTGGTGGCTGTCACTGGTGGCTGTCACTGGTAGCTGTCACTGGTGGCTGTCACTGGTGGCTGGGTGGCTGTCACTGGTGGCTGTCACTGGTGGCTGTCACTGGTGGCTGTCACTGGTGGCTGTCACTGGTGGCTGTCACTGGTGGCTGTCACTGGTGGCTGTCACTGGTGGCTGTCACTGGTGGCTGTCACTGGTAGCTGTCAGTGGTAGCTGGGTGGCTGTCACTGGTGGCTGTCACTGGTGGCTGTCACTGGTGGCTGTCACTGGTGGCTGTCACTGGTGGCTGTCACTGGTGGCTGTCACTGGTAGCTGGGTGGCTGTCACTGGTGGCTGTCACTGGTGGCTGTCACTGGTGGCTGTCACTGGTAGCTGGGTGGCTGTCACTGGTGGCTGTCACTGGTGGCTGTCACTGGTGGCTGTCACTGGTGGCTGTCACTGGTGGCTGTCACTGGTGGCTGTCACTGGTAGCTGGGTGGCTGTCACTGGTGGCTGTCACTGGTGGCTGTCACTGGTGGCTGTCACTGGTGGCTGTCACTGGTAGCTGTCAGTGGTAGCTGTCACTGGTGGCTGTCACTGGTGGCTGTCACTGGTAGCTGGGTGGCTGTCACTGGTGGCTGTCACTGGTGGCTGTCACTGGTGGCTGTCACTGGTGGCTGTCACTGGTGGCTGTCACTGGTGGCTGTCACTGGTGGCTGTCACTGGTGGCTGTCACTGGTAGCTGGGTGGCTGTCACTGGTGGCTGTCACTGGTGGCTGTCACTGGTGGCTGTCACTGGTAGCTGTCAGTGGTAGCTGTCACTGGTGGCTGTCACTGGTGGCTGTCACTGGTAGCTGGGTGGCTGTCACTGGTGGCTGTCACTGGTGGCTGTCACTGGTGGCTGTCACTGGTGGCTGTCACTGGTGGCTGTCACTGGTGGCTGTCACTGGTGGCTGTCACTGGTAGCTGGGTGGCTGTCACTGGTGGCTGTCACTGGTGGCTGTCACTGGTGGCTGTCACTGGTGGCTGTCACTGGTAGCTGTCAGTGGTAGCTGGGTGGCTGTCACTGGTAGCTGTCACTGGTGGCTGTCACTGGTGGCTGTCACTGGTGGCTGCCTACTTACCATTGGTAACTGTCTGCGCTTCAACAGAGCCCGCAGGTTTCTGTCCACTCTGTTGTAGCATTGGACTGGACTGTAGGCTGGGTGGTCTGGACAAGAAATCAGGTTATTTTTAGATCAGCTCATTCAAGAAATCAGGTTATTTTTAGATCAGCTCATTCAAGAAATCAGGTTATTTTTAGATCAGCTCATTCAAGAAATCAGGTTATTTTTAGATGAGCTCATTCAAGAAATCAGGTTATTTTTAGATCAGCTCATTCAAGAAATCAGGTTATTTTTAGATCAGCTCATTCAAGAAATCAGGTTATTTTTAGATCAGCTCATTCAAGAAATCAGGTTATTTTTAGATCAGCTCATTCAAGAAATCAGGTTATTTTTAGATCAGCTCATTCAAGAAATCAGGTTATTTTTTTTATTGGTGGGAAGGAGAGCTTTGACTACTGGTCGAGATATTTTTTGAGTTGAATGAATTTGAACCAACTTACCACTTCTGTCATCTAAAATCATGACCCAAGTGTCCTCAGCTGTTGTCATCTCTGTGTCCCATTCATCATCTTCTCTAATGACATGCAGACCACGGTAGTTGAGGATTTTCATTTGATCTTCTTCTGAACTCTCAACAAAGCTGCTCCAGGCCTGGGAGACACAAACAAACAACTAGGTCAGCATCTTAAGTAAGTCAGTGGTAACTTGGTTAACCTGTTGCTGATCCACTTCCTCAAAGTTGTCTGCTGACAAAAATCTTCTCTTTGTTTATTGACAATCTCATCAAAAATAAAATATTCATTAACTTTCCAGATTGTGTAGCTACTGACATTATGCTGGCCATGGGTATCTGGTGTACAAATATTTTAAACATCACAGATATAAACTAAGACAAAAGTGTACAATTTTATCACAGATATAAACTAAGACAAAAGCATACAATTTTATCACATATATAAACTAAGACAAAAGCGTACAATTTTATCACAGATATAAACTAAGACAAAAGCATACAATTTTATCACAGATATAAACTAAGACAAAAGTGTACAATTTTATCATAGATATAAACTAAGACAAAAGTGTACAATTTTATCACAGATATAAACTAAGACAAAAGTGTACAATTTTATCACAGATATAAACTAAGACAAAAGCGTACAATTTTATCACAGATATAAACTAAGACAAAAGCATACAATTTTATCATAGATATAAACTAAGACAAAAGTGTACAATTTTATCACAGATATAAACTAAGACAAAAGTGTACAATTTTATCACAGATATAAACTAAGACAAAAGTGTACAATTTTATCACAGATATAAACTAAGACAAAAGTGTACAATTTTATCACAGATATAAACTAAGACAAAAGTGTACAATTTTATCACAGATATAAACTAAGACAAAAGTGTACAATTTTATCATAGATATAAACTAAGACAAAAGTGTACAATTTTATCATAGATATAAACTAAGACAAAAGTGTACAATTTTATCACAGATATAAACTAAGACAAAAGTGTACAATTTTATCATAGATATAAACTAAGACAAAAGTGTACAATTTTATCACAGATATAAACTAAGACAAAAGCGAACAATTTTATCACAGATATAAACTAAGACAAAAGCATACAATTTTATCAGAGATATAAACTAAGACAAAAGTGTACAATTTTATCACAGATATAAACTAAGACAAAAGTGTACAATTTTATCAGAGATATAAACTAAGACAAAAGTGTACAATTTTATCAGAGATATAAACTAAGACAAAAGTGTACAATTTTATCACAGATATAAACTAAGACAAAAGTGTACAATTTTATCACAGATATAAACTAAGACAAAAGTGTACAATTTTATCACAGATATAAACTAAGACAAAAGTGTACAATTTTATCACAGATATAAACTAAGACAAAAGTGTACAATTTTATCAGAGATATAAACTAAGACAAAAGTGTACAATTTTATCAGAGATATAAACTAAGACAAAAGTGTACAATTTTATCAGAGATATAAACTAAGACAAAAGTGTACAATTTTATCACAGATATAAACTAAGACAAAAGTGTACAATTTTATCACAGATATAAACTAAGACAAAAGTGTACAATTTTATCAGAGATATAAACTAAGACAAAAGTGTACAATTTTAGCAGAGATATAAACTAAGACAAAAGTGTACAATTTTATCAGAGATATAAACTAAGACAAAAGTGTACAATTTTATCAGAGATATAAACTAAGACAAAAGTGTACAATTTTATCACAGATATAAACTAAGACAAAAGTGTACAATTTTATCAGAGATATAAACTAAGACAAAAGTGTACAATTTTATCACAGATATAAACTAAGACAAAAGTGTACAATTTTATCAGAGATATAAACTAAGACAAAAGTGTACAATATTATCAGAGATATAAACTAAGACAAAAGTGTACAATTTTATCAGAGATATAAACTAAGACAAAAGTGTACAATATTATCAGAGATATAAACTAAGACAAAAGTGTACAATTTTATCAGAGATATAAACTAAGACAAAAGTGTACAATTTTATCAGAGATATAAACTAAGACAAAAGTGTACAATTTTATCAGAGATATAAACTAAGTCAAAAGTGTACAATTTTATCACAGATATAAACTAAGACAAAAGTGTACAATTTTATCACAGATATAAACTAAGACAAAAGTGTACAATTTTTTTACACGATGCAGTGACAGTGATGTAAAAGTATTTCGAAGTTCTTTAAGTAAGTAAAGTTCACTTTCAAACCTGTGAGTTGTTTACATAAGATTAAAGACACTTAGATCAAGGCCCTGATAGGTAGTGTAACCACATCATAGTTTGCCTGCATCAATTATTTTTGTTGTAGATCTAGTGGGTTCAGATAGTGTAACCACATCATAGTATGCCTGCATCAATTATTTTTGTTGTAGATCTAGTGGGTTCAGATAGTGTAACCACATCATAGTATGCCTGCATCAATTATTTTTGTTGTAGATCTAGTGGGTTCAGATAGTGTAACCACATCATAGTTTGCCTGCATCAATTATTTTTGTTGTAGATCTAGTGGGTTCAGATAGTGTAACCACATCATAGTTTGCCTGCATCAATTATTTTTGTTGTAGATCTAGTGGGTTCAGATAGTGTAACCACATCATAGTTTGCCTGCATCAATTATTTTTGTTGTAGATCTAGTGGGTTCAGATAGTGTAACCACATCATAGTATGCCTGCATCAATTATTTTTGTTGTAGATCTAGTGGGTTCAGATAGTGTAACCACATCATAGTATGCCTGCATCAATTATTTTTGTTGTAGATCTAGTGGGTTCAGATAGTGTAACCACATCATAGTTTGCCTGCATCAATTATTTTTGTTGTAGATCTAGTGGGTTCAGATAGTGTAACCACATCATAGTATGCCTGCATCAATTATTTTTGTTGTAGATCTAGTGGGTTCAGATAGTGTAACCACATCATAGTTTGCCTGCATCAATTATTTTTGTTGTAGATCTAGTGGGTTCAGATAGTGTAACCACATCATAGTATGCCTGCATCAATTATTTTTGTTGTAGATCTAGTGGGTTCAGATAGTGTAACCACATCATAGTATGCCTGCATCAATTATTTTTGTTGTAGATCTAGTGGGTTCAGATAGTGTAACCACATCATAGTATGCCTGCATCAATTATTTTTGTTGTAGATCTAGTGGGTTCAGATAGTGTAACCACATCATAGTTTGCCTGCATCAATTATTTTTGTTGTAGATCTAGTGGGTTCAGATAGTGTAACCACATCATAGTTTGCCTGCATCAATTATTTTTGTTGTAGATCTAGTGGGTTCAGATAGTGTAACCACATCATAGTTTGCCTGCATCAATTATTTTTGTTGTAGATCTAGTGGGTTCAGATAGTGTAACCACATCATAGTTTGCCTGCATCAATTATTTTTGTTGTAGATCTAGTCGGTTCAGATAGTGTAACCACATCATAGTATGCCTGCATCACTTATTTTTGTTGAAGATCTAGTCGGTTCAGATAGTGTAACCACATCATAGTTTGCCTGCATCACTTATTTTTGTTGTAGATCTAGTGGGTTCAGATAGTGTAACCACATCATAGTTTGCCTGCATCAATTATTTTTGTTGTAGATCTAGTGGGTTCAGATAGTGTAACCACATCATAGTTTGCCTGCATCAATTATTTTTGTTGTAGATCTAGTGGGTTCAGATAGTGTAACCACATCATAGTTTGCCTGCATCAATTATTTTTGTTGTAGATCTAGTGGGTTCAGATAGTGTAACCACATCATAGTTTGCCTGCATCAATTATTTTTGTTGTAGATCTAGTGGGTTCAGATAGTGTAACCACATCATAGTTTGCCTGCATCAATTATTTTTGTTGTAGATCTAGTGGGTTCAGATAGTGTAACCACATCATAGTTTGCCTGCATCAATTATTTTTGTTGTAGATCTAGTGGGTTCAGATAGTGTAACCACATCATAGTTTGCCTGCATCAATTATTTTTGTTGTAGATCTAGTCGGTTCAGATAGTGTAACCACATCATAGTATGCCTGCATCACTTATTTTTGTTGTAGATCTAGTCGGTTCAGATAGTGTAACCACATCATAGTTTGCCTGCATCACTTATTTTTGTTGTAGATCTAGTGGGTTCAGATAGTGTAACCACATCATAGTATGCCTGCATCAATTATTTTTGTTGTAGATCTAGTGGGTTCAGATAGTGTAACCACATCATAGTATGCCTGCATCAATTATTTTTGTTGTAGATCTAGTGGGTTCAGATAGTGTAACCACATCATAGTATGCCTGCATCAATTATTTTTGTTGTAGATCTAGTGGGTTCAGATAGTGTAACCACATCATAGTATGCCTGCATCAATTATTTTTGTTGTAGATCTAGTGGGTTCAGATAGTGTAACCACATCATCGTATGCCTGCATCAATTATTTTTGTTGTAGATCTAGTGGGTTCAGATAGTGTAACCACATCATCGTATGCCTGCATCAATTATTTTTGTTGTAGATCTAGTGGGTTCAGATAGTGTAACCACATCATAGTTTGCCTGCATCAATTATTTTTGTTGTAGATCTAGTGGGTTCAGATAGTGTAACCACATCATAGTTTGCCTGCATCAATTATTTTTGTTGTAGATCTAGTGGGTTCAGATAGTGTAACCACATCATAGTATGCCTGCATCAATTATTTTTGTTGTAGATCTAGTGGGTTCAGATAGTGTAACCACATCATAGTATGCCTGCATCAATTATTTTTGTTGTAGATCTAGTGGGTTCAGATAGTGTAACCACATCATAGTATGCCTGCATCAATTATTTTTGTTGTAGATCTAGTGGGTTCAGATAGTGTAACCACATCATAGTATGCCTGCATCAATTATTTTTGTTGTAGATCTAGTGGGTTCAGATAGTGTAACCACATCATAGTATGCCTGCATCAATTATTTTTGTTGTAGATCTAGTGGGTTCAGATAGTGTAACCACATCATAGTATGCCTGCATCAATTATTTTTGTTGTAGATCTAGTGGGTTCAGATAGTGTAACCACATCATAGTATGCCTGCATCAATTATTTTTGTTGTAGATCTA